GCAGCCTCCCAATGCTCTTGCCGTGGCTGGTGCATAAACTAGACCAACACATGCACGCAGTAGGATAACTCAGGTCACGTAACAGAGAGATAAATAAGGTGACCTACCAAACAGCGGTAACTTTCTGGATCATTTAAAATATCACCATCTGCCAAAGCCAATTTATGATTCTGTTTGAGTGGGAAGGTGGCAGGTTTAGCTCCGAGCAGACCAACCTCAGAGATAATATTCAATGCATATTTACGTTGACACAAATAAATTCCTTCAGGACTGCGAGCAACTTCAATGCCGAGGAAGTATTTCAACACCCCCAAATCCTTCATATGAAAGCAACAACTCAAATACTCCTTGAATTTTTGAATGGCTGCATGATCATTTTCTGACACAATAAGATCATCAACATATACAACAACATTAATTTGTACCGTGCCTCGTCACAAAATGAAGAGAGAGTAATCAGAGTACGATTACTTGAAACCATAATCTTTCAAAGCAGCAACCAATTTTGCAAACCAACATCGAGGAGCTTGTCGTAATCCATACAAAGATTTCTTCAGATGACATACCATCCCTGATTTGTTAGAATGAAAACCCAGAGGCAAACGCATGTATACCTCTTCCTCCAAGTCTCCATGCGAGAATGCATTATGCACATCCATTTGATGAAGTTCCCAATTTTTAGCCGCTGCCACAGCCAGAAAAGTACGGACTGTAACCATTTTTGCCATTGGCGCAAAAGTTTCATTGTAGTCAATTCCTTCAACTTGCTTATTGCCTAGGATTACCAATCGAGCCTTGTAGCGTTTAATGGTCCCATCCGCATTATATTTGATCCTGTACACCCATTTACAACCTATGGCTCGTTTTCCTGGAGGTAATGGTTTTAAAATCCACGTTCCATTATCCTCTAGTGCGTGTATCTCTTTTTGCGTTGCTTCTCTCCATTTCTCATCTTTTAAAGCTTCAGCAAAAGAGTTAGGCTCAACACCTGCAGTAATGGCTACCAAGAAAGCACGATGTTGCACAGAAAATTTATCACAGTTCACATAATGTGCTATGGGACAAGGACTACCTGAGGAATGCTGATGGGCGTGTGAGTTTGCAGAGAGGCTCAATCGTTGCACTGTGTGTAAGACATAATCTCGCAGCAAGACTGACTCTTGTCGCTGTCGGTGACCACGGCCGAGTAATACTTCAGTTTGCTCGCTGTCAACAGTTTCATTTGCACCCTTCTCATCTACAATCGCTTCTTGATCTTATGCATGACCAATAGATTTCTCTGTGCATTGTTCATCATTTACATGATAATAAGGAGGTATGTCCTCGTCGGCTACGCATTCATCAAAGGCATTGTTGCAGGTCTTGTCATGTTCAATATTGTCTTCTTTCTTGTAAGGAAACTCATGCTTCACGAACACAACATCTCTCGAGGCAAAGAGCTCACCTGTAGCCAAATCATACATGCTCCATCCTTTCTTGCCNAGGTATTCAACTTTAGTGGATGAGAGCGCAACAACATGTTTCTTGGAACTCCATTGAACTAGATTGGAGCCAAGATATAAAGAATAGCCACTAGTAGAACGACGATCGAAAATCCTGGCCCAAACCATAATCAGCGGTACATATCAAACCCATCAATACTACATCAACAACACTTCCAAGTGTTTCAACACTACATCAGCAATAATTCTTGTATCAACACACCAAATTCCTTGATCATTAAACTTCTTACCTTTAAACAAATGAAAGACAAATTCAGTGTGATGTTTCAATTTTCTTCATTTCTCACCAAGGATATCACCAATAAGGACTTTCTAAGATATGGCACTTATCAATCAAACCTATCAAATGTTAATAGCCCAAGCAATTAATGCAGATAAACTTACATACTTGAAAATACATACCTGGATGCGTGAACCAGCCCATAGATTTCCATTAACTATCTAAGTGTTTCATAACAACCACCAATTTAGTCTGATCACATGTATAGGCAATTCAGCAAGATATAAAAGCTTCAGATTCCACAAAACTATATTAATGTTTAAATATTTCCCACTGAGTGAAAAATAATGGTATAGAGTATGCACCTAAATGCATGACAATAAATGAAAATGATTATAATGACCTTCTAATTAAAAAAAAAAAGCACCTGATACCATTTGATTTGAAAATCTCCTCTGCTTAAAATACATCTATTGCTTTTAACTTTGAAACTTACCAATAACAATCTAGCCACAAATGTTGTTCTAATTCATTTGGAATGCTACAGCTGTTATTACAAATTTAATTAGTATCTCACCACTTTTTTACTACTCACCACAAAACTTCCATACAAACTGAACTCTTGAATCCTGAGAGCTATCTCAAAATAAGCAAAACTGTAGCACTCACCATAATCCTGTCTTCTGTATCATAATCTATAGTTTTCTACTACTCACCATAGAAGAAGAGCTCAATTACAAACTAACCCCTAACAGCACTCTCAAGATACTTAAAACTGAAGAAACAACTCATATCAGAATTTTGTCCTATGTAACAAAGCAAAAAGATGGAGGCATCATGTTTGTCAGATGTAATCCTAAACTGAACAGATAAAAAATCTTAATTAATATTTGAAGTACATGATAACAAATATTTTTTCATCATACATGACAGAAAAAGAATCAAAACAATCCAATTCAAAAACTTAAAAAATATCCCATCCAGACTGAGTAAGATAAGGTAATCCAATTCAAAAAACTCATCCAGAGTAAGTTAAGATAAGCTGATGCAATTCTTTCAAAAAAAAAATTTCAAGTGTAAGCACATCAAAAGACTCACCTTCTGTATATGCAGAAAGAAGTTTACGAGCATAACGATTCTAGTCACTTCTCATAAAAGCATCAATCCTACAATGAGTCAAAGGCATAGAAAGCTTTAGCACAAAAGCATGACAAATAAATCCTACAATAGCAACAGGTTACAAATTCTAAAAACATTGCATCATTATTTATCGAACAAATAAATTCTACAGAACATCTTTTAAGAGCACCAAGAGTGCATATAAAATATATCTAGGTTAGTCATTCATTGGCATAATTTTTTATCAAATTTTCATTTAATTAATCAGAAACAAAGGGATTGAATTCGGATCATAATATATTATATTCTTAATTAGAAGCAATACAATTTCAATGGCGTAGAATATGTTAATTGCTTCTATTACAATAAAAATTCCACAGCTAAAGCTAACAACTTATTAGGTCTAGAACACATATCGATAACCAACAAATAACAATCGTACCTTAACATTTCCAGCTTCTTTGATCACCTCCACAAAGCTTCAGTTGGAACAAAATGTTGTGGCTCCAGAAATGAACCCGGGACATTGTGCAAATTACAACATCAGCTTTTTTCACTGCTTCCACTGGGCTCTTATGATCAAAAAAAGAGCTCTCAACTAGAACAGTCGCTTCCTTTTTGAACAACAACAGCATCTGAAGCTTTTCGATGTCAAGTGCGATCTCTGAACGCTGAAGACCTACAAGAAAGGAAAGAAGACAACGGCAAAGGAGCTCAGCGACAACGGGGAAGAGAAGGAATCTAGGCGACCCAATAAAATCGAAATGAAATAAAATGGTTTAAGGGATTTCAAAATTGGGGGAAAGGCGGGTGCTGTTGAATGACTTATGTTGTAGATTTGGGAAATATTGTAATAATATAAGCCCTTCACAGTTTCCAATATATACATATAGACCCGATAAAATATCATTTAACTCCCCCCATTGCATTTATTTGATTTCAATGAACCAATAAATTATCTGGTGAAATTCCACATGAAATTGATTATCTCCCACGATTCCATTGTTGAATTGTAATTGTAATATCATTTGTATGTCATCTTTTTTCTATTTCAATATATTTTTTGTTTTAAGTTGGACTGAGAAAATCAAATCCTTTGAATCATATAAATGAATTTCAAAACTTATATAGTTTTTAAAGTTTGTCCAATTTATGCAAATAGATTGTGTATTAACTTCATTACTTCAACTTGAAATGGCAACAAATATTTGACAAACTAAATTATTTTTGCAATTGCATTAATTGGTTTGAAATTAATTTTCAAGGAGTTCCTATATTTGATAGCTTTCAATTAATTATCTTAAGTTATATATATAAAGTTGAAATTAACTTTAAAATTGTTTTATTTTGAAGCTCTAGATTTGTTCTCTCTTTCTATTTTGGTTGTGTGATTTAATGAGATATAACACTTGATTAAAATTCCAAATGTTCTCGTATCAATCCAAATAATTCTTGATTAGGATGAATGAGGTATTAATTCACTGCATTGTTATTCCAAAATTCATTCCTTCTTGATTACATTATTCTGTGTCTCATCTCCAAAATTAAACTCACCCAATTGATTTAACTGCTCAAATTAATTCATTGTATTGGTATTCCAAAGTTCATATCATCTTGATTACCATCTTTAAGATTAAACTCACCCAATTGATTTAACTGCTCAAATATAATCAAACGCTATATCACCTCCTCCATGCGACACCACAATCACCTCCAGATCCATCACCGTCATCCTACTTCCGACATTTGCCGGTAACCTCTGGATTCTTCCACTCCAGTCTCGCGATTCGGCGCATTGGTGGCGCAGCTAGAGTCTATAGTCGCCTCCGCATCGCAATAATCGCCTGACCCTCTCCTCTGCGTCGATCTCCTCTTCGATCTCATCTCCGTCATCAACGAAGAGCCCAAGGTCGCTCGATCTAAACGGTGCGTTTTCTTTCTGTACTCATTTTTACTCCAAATGTGATTTTAACTGTGCGATTTAGTTTAGTTTTTGCTGGTTACTAAGAGAGACTTTGCAGAGAACATTTGCTGAGCTCTATTTACAAAACATTTTTTTTTTTTATTCATTTGCTTCTACGGTTATTTTTACCAAGAAATTAGGGTTATTGTTTTTACTATTTGTGTTTGTTTTGTGGTGAAAAGCAAGGTTTATGAGAATGGGTGAAGTGGTTTTGTGCAGTGAAGAAGAAATGGAAATGGAGTTGGAGACAGAGAAGAACGAGACTAAGAAGGGTGGCTCGTCTGAGGTGGCTAGGTGGGAAAGATTTCTGCCGAGGATGGTTCTTAGAGTTCTATTGGTAAAAGCAGATGATTCTACATATCATATTAGCTTTGCTCTTCTTAGAAAATGCAGTTACAGAGGTATTACTTTAGTGCTTCTCTTCTTCTTCTTTATTCATTTTCGTTTTATTTTTAGTTCTTCTTTTGTTTTTTTTCTTAGTGGCATTTGTTTTCTGGCAATTCCCATAAAGTGCCAAAATTTATATCTTTTCCTTTGTTAACAACAGATGTGCTAGCACAAGTGATGACATCTTTGTTTGATTGGAAGTAGTTGATTAATGAGAATTCATGCAAATCTATTTTCACAGTTAATGNGGACCCGGAAGCTGGAAGAGATTTAGTTACAACCTATTTCAGCCTCATTGTCTCTAATATGCCCTAAGTAGTAGAGTTGCATGATCCAAAGCCCTCATATTTTCTCATTGTTTTCAGTTGACATTCCAATTATTTCTCTTTCCTTTATATGGTATATATACATGAAGTTATTCACTGCTTTTCTTACTTTTACTTGCTTGATGTTTCAATAACTTTTTACTGATGAGGCTTTTGTAAACTAGTCATGTGATTTTTCAAGCTTTCATGATCTAAGGTTTGTTTTCAAATAAGATTGTAATATTTCTTTCATAATGCAGTATCTGTCAGACTGTGTGGGAAATGATTGTTTATTGGACTAGTAATTTGGATTTGGTTTACTACTTGGTTCTTTAGATGTTAATGTCAATGTTGTAATTTGCAGTTATGTTGTTGATGCTGCTGATTATGAGAACTTGCATGTTTCAAGAAGTGAACTCCATGACTTGTTAAGTAAGCCCTCACTGAATGGCATCCCATTGCTGGTTCTTGGAAACAAGATTGATAAACCAGAAGCCTTGTCTAAAGAGGATCTGACGGAACAAATGTAAGTGGTGATTCTAAAAATCAGAAACTTTTCTATGTGGTTTGTCAAGATTTTTTCTGCTGGTATCATCAATATCACATTTTCATAAAATTGTCTTACTGTTAAAAGCAAGGACAAAGTGGAACATGCACTTTATGCCCAGTATGGCTGGCAATGAAATAAGCAAATGACACTGAGAGATTGAGCTTACAAAACAATGGAGCTAAAAGAAAAAAATATAAATAATAACTAGATATATTTTCCCTTTTTACTTGTTTATCAATATATGATTGTTCTACTTATTAATGAATTGTGTGATATGAAAGCGTGATTTTGCTATGCAGGGGATTGAAGTCTATTACTGATAGAGAAGTTTGCTGCTACATGATTTCATGCAAGAACTCTTCAAACATTGATTCGGTTATTGATTGGCTGGTAAAGCATTCAAAATCAAAGAATTGAGTGATCAGCTCCTGTAGTTTTGAGCTTGTATTGGCTCCATTTAACCGACTGATATTAGACTGGTGAAAGTGACTTATGCTGTTTGTCTAATCAAAGGTTTATAAATGTGTGAGCATTGTCTTTATTTTAGTCGGCTTCAATCATATATTATAGCATTATTTGGGTTGGCATTAGAAATTGGGAAACATCCTTGTATTATTGTTAGGCTATAAAGCGATTTGAGTCTTGTATAGATCTTGGTGTGAATTGCATTGTAAACTTGCTATTTGAGCTGTGTTTTTAATGAAATAATGGTTTTAATACATTTAGTTCTGGAGCATATGCCTCTATTCTAAAGACTGCCCTCATTGCCATTATGTTTATGCCGATTAACACATAATTCATCCATTCCTTGAAAGAACTTGACCTTAAGCACCAAAGCATAATGTGTAAAACCTTTTTAAATTTTTAACACATGGCCAATCCACTGGATGACAATTATGTCGATAACTTGAACATTTTTTCTTTTCTCTTTTTCTTTTTGGGTGTGTGCAAGCAGTGAATGAAACTAGGGGCAAAATGAACCAGAGTATAGCCTGCATTTCCCAGACATCTGTTTGATACTGTACACTGATCTATAGGCATTGATGGTGATGCTGTGAATAAGGGCATTGATGTAAAATTGAAAAGTTAAGAAGAATTGGATGAAATTTCCGTCTCCTCGCACGGATAAATCCTTGGCCAAGTGTAGACAGTTTCTTTCAAAACTCAGCCCCTTTTATTGCACTTAACAAATGCTTTCTTGTTCCCGAAAACCACAAATCTATTCATCTACACCTGTAACTCTGTAAGTCTTTTATTATGTGCTTGACTTGTCTTGGAATGGAATTGCCAATCAGACTTCGCCAAAAATTAAGCTTATTTCTGCATAATATCTATTTGATATTCTCTAAAATACTGTTATTTAATCCTCCAGTTAACTTTATGATTTGTCTCTGAAATACCCTTTCGCCAAAGAATTCCACAACTCTTTTCTCCAAAAGCTTGAAAACATCCCATTCATTAAAAAAAAAAAAAAAACCACCTATATAAAATAAAATAAAAGGTGTTTTAGAAACTTGAAATATAAAGATACTAACGAAGTCTGTACATTCTACTCAGATGAGCTAACCAAGCTCTCCTCCTATCATGAGACATACAAAGAAAAGCTTTCCTCCATTCAATATCAACCATTTTCTCCACAAACTGTATGTATGTATCATTGTCAACAGCCATGTGTCACGGGTTGGGAGTTTCACACCCAAAAGGCTAACCCTTTTAGGTGGAGATCCTCCCCCCATTTATAAGCCCAAGACCTCTCCAATACGCTTCCGATGTGGGATTCGCTACATTCTCCTTCACCTAATCCTGTGACGCCCTCGTCACAAGTGGGGCCCCCTGCCTACCCGTCCACCTCACTCTCGTGTAGACCCACAATCACACGTGGACGTCCCTGCGTGGACGCTTAGCAGGACATCGAAAGACGGATCGAGTCTGCTCTGATACCACTTGTCACGGGCTGGGAGTTTTACGCCCAAAAGGCTAACCCTTTTAGGTAGAGGGACATCCCCCATTTATAAGCCCAGGACCTGCCCAATACGCTTCTAATGTGGGATTCGTTACATTCTCCCCCACCCAATCCTGTGATGCCTTCGTCACAGGTGGGGCTTCCTGCCTACCCATCCACCTCACTCGTGTGGACCCACAATCACACGTGGACGCCCCTGTGTGGGTGCTTGACAGGACATCGAAAGATGGATCGGGTCTGTTTTGATACCAAATGTCATGACCCGATTGTTTCCCTTCGAACTCGTGCAGCCTTAGGCACCAATCAATCGACGATTGCCCTAAGTCAGCCTTACTTGCTCAAGCTTCTAGCCCTACAAATAAGGAAACACTCACACAAACTCACTCACAAGAGATATTAGAAGAGAACTATTTACTAATAAGAGAATGTTTTACAATTCTTGGATGGTTTGACTAAACGAAGGTCTCCCTCTTTTATAATAGATGAAACTTATAATAGATGGTCTAGATCTTTCATAATTAACTGTAGAAATTAGCTAACTCTCAACTACCACCTAACAACTACCATATTAATTACAAGATTATAGTAAATACAAAAGTATTTTAGAAAGTTATAGAGTGTCGGGTGACGCCTCTCCAACCTTTCATAAATCACTTAGTTATGCATTGCCAATGAAAAATGAAAGATGATGCTATATACAAGTTAATAAATTGGGATATTGCAATTCCTCTGCCTATATTATTGTTCCGCATGATTTTTCTATGTTCCTGTTGTTACTTTACTATGGTTTTTGAGCTTCTAATTAAAATTGCATCATTTCATAGGCTGGTCTTCCCCCACGTGTTCTGAAGATAGTTTCTGGCTATGGTCCAACCGTTGGTGCGTAGCCATATGGATGTGGACTAGGTATATTTTGAACTTTAACATCCTTGCTCATCATTTCTATACGCATAACGGTGTTAACTGTTGAATCTAATAGCTTGATGAGTTGATAACCTAATCAATTATGTGGACACAAATCGACCTGGTCTTTTGGAACCCAATCTGAGCATTTGCCACTTACATTGGGCATTATTTTATCATAAGCTTAGCCGTTGTTCATTATCTCTTGGTTTTTAGAATACGAGTGATTAAACCATCGCCACTACTATTGCAGCTTGCTTTCACTGGTTTTACCGAATCTTAAGCCAGCTTAGGTACATAAGGTCAGGCATTGAAAGCAATGCAACCCTTGATTGTGAAGGTGACAGATTTGGCACCAGAGGTTACTTCGTTCAGCCTACCGTCTTCTCAAATGTTCAGGTACTATTCATTTATCTCCTGTAATTTCCTCTACCCATATGTTTTCATATCATTATATCTAACATGCTGATTACATTTTAATAAAATAGGATAATATGTTGATTGCACAAGATGAGATCTTTGGCCCAGTGCAATCCATATTGAAGTTCAGGTGAGTAAAAACCATTTCTTATATTTTGACATCAGTTTCATTAAGGCATCTCATCACAATTATCAAAACTAATTGTATAGCTGATTGGATGTTAAGTTATAAATGTTAACTTTAATAAATAAAGATTTAATATTGTTTTCAATGCATGTTATGTTTTTCCAGAATTCAGATTTATGGTGATTTTTTTGCTTGATATGATCTTTTTATGTTGAATTGGGGGGCAACATTGAAGGTAGTTAGATTTCTGGTGCACTTTTTTGGTTGACAATATGGGGATCTGATTAGTTTTTTCATTAATTAATATGATTGTTTGAAGAACTATGATTGTTTATCTTTTGGTGATCATGGGTTGATTCTTTTTGCTGTGATCAACTTTTTTTAATGTGTTTTTTGTATTGTTTAGGTTGGAGATTTTGGAACTTTCATTACAGGTAAGTGTTTCTTCCATGTGGGTGTTTTAGTGTTTAGTATCTGCGTTAGTTGATGCAATGCATAAATAAGGTTTTGAATTATATTTATTTTGAATATTTTGATGTGAATTGTTTAAGTTGCGATGTTTGTAACTTTTATTTATTGAGGGTTTGAGCTAATATTTGGATTTCAATTGATTCTGAATCATGTTGTCATCATTATTAGATGAGAGAGGTTTGATGATTTCGGTTTTTCGGTTTTCACAACTATGTTTACTGATGCAATGCATGTTGAAGTTTTGTATGTTAGCTTTCATTGATGGCCTTAATTTTAGTTGAAATTTTCATTTGAATTGAGTTTTTTAGTTCCTTTGATGTTTGTTATTGGTTGAGAAGTGAAATTTTCATAATATGAAGGAACTGAAATCTGAAAGACACGAGCTTGATGATTTATGCCTCTCCTGTGCCTTGCAAAAGCAATATGGCGGTTGAAAATTCATGATAATCAAGAAGGGGGTGGTGTGGCTCAATCAAAGCCCATACCCAGATCGTCCAGGTGAGCCAAATTGTCTATTTTACCTAAAGACAGGGTTGTGTGGTTATGGAAGCAATTGTCGCTTTAATCATCCTGCTTACGCCGCTGAGGTAATTAAGATTTTTCTACAAAAGTTTTTATTAACCCCCTTAATCTTTAATTTTATTTTATATTAGTCTTGGTTCCTGGTTCCTGGTTCCGGTTCCGGTTCCTAACAATAGGAACCGGAACCAAGAACCAGGAACCTAACTATAGGAACCGGAACCGGAACCGCACAGTAACGGTTCCAAAAATTTGGAACCGGAACCTACACATTGACGACTGGTTCTGGGTAGAAACTGGAACCAAACCCAGGGTATCCGTCGGTTCCGGTTCCAACTGGTTCTTTTGAACACCCCTAGGCCCTAACAATCATCTGCCAACGACAACTTGCAACATGAGAGGAAACACAGAACTCCTTCTGACTGGCATCGTTAACCCGAAAATCTCATCACGATAAGAAAATTTTATGTCAATTTTCATGTTATGTAAAATGGATTATTAGTGTTGCTTCAACGGTTTGCACCATATGTGAAACGATTTATCAAATCTGGTATAAAATTTGCACCAATGCTTTTTGTTACTTTTACTTAGACTTCTACTCTTTTTTCCTGTTATAAGTGGTAGTTTGGTAGTATACTTTGTATCTCATCATATTATTATCTGAACAGAGTGCTGAACATAGAGAGGAACTACCAGAGAGAGTTGGACAACCTAACAGTGGGGTACAATTCTCCCCTTCGTGAGATTATATGATTGCTGGGTGTTTATCTTGCTCTTTGCTCTGATATATTAGAATGAAAGTTTTACAGGAAAACTGCAGAACACGGAATGTTGCATTTCTATACTCATAGATTGGACTATGTAGCAATAATAATTGTGGAGAATCCATCAGGGTTCATTTAATTTTGGAACTTTTTTATTTAAATATAGGTATGTGATAGTGTTGACTAAATGAAAAGCGAAATGCACTCTGAATAACAGTAGAATCAGTTGGTTCTAAAAGGTTTTGGGTAGTGTTGGTTATTGTTACACAGTTCCATTTTACTTTTGTTCAATAGTTATGAGAAATTTGTGCCCCTGATTTCTATTTGTTCTGTCTTGCCCACCAATATTTGATAGCAATCTACATCGTCTTTGGAAGTTTTCTCACACAGTGTATCAGTTATAAAGGGTAGGCCACTTTTCTTTTTTAATTAAATGAAATTATCTATCAAGATAGATTCACTCAGCCTGTTCTTCTCATGACATCTTGCATTTGGCAGCTAACTGCTAAATTGGGTTTGCAAGTGGTTGACCAACAAGTAGACAATTGGAAG